CAACCTTGGCTCAGGTCAGTTGGAGCCTGGCATCAGACTCTGTGCTGACAGCTCAGAGCCTGGAGCCTGCTTCAGATTCTGTGTCTCCCTCTCTCTCTGTCCCTTCCCTGCTCATCCTCTCTCTCTCTCTCTCTCTTTCAATAAAACATTAAAAAAAAAGAAAGAGTCGGATGCTAAACCAACTAAGCCACCCAGGCACCTCTTATTATGAGTATTTTATGAAAACTTAAAATAATGTTTTAAAAAAGAAAAATAGGTCAAACTCAGAGCTCTTTACATGTGTAAAATATAAATCTGTAAATCTGGAAGAATATACAAAGAATTTTGATTGTTATAGTATAGAAATCTAGAGTATTTTTTAATCTGTATCTCCAGATAACTTGCATATGGGAATTTTTAAATTCACAAATAAAATTAGAAACCTGAGACACTGAAAATACAGTAAAACCTTGGATTGTGAGTAACTTATTCTGTGTGTGTTCCACAAGACAAGCAAACATTTCTAAAACATTTTAACTTAATAAACAAGTGATGTCATGCAATATAAGTAGTACTTGACGCCGAAGGTCACATGATCACAACTGAATCCACGATTCTTGAACTTCGCCTTGATATACAAGTGCTTTGGATTATAAGCATGTTTCCAGAACGAATTAGGCTCACAAGCAAAGGTTTTACTGTATGCTTTTTAAAAATATATTTAAAAAGTATACCGTTAAATTTTTTATTTAAGTTCCAATTAGTTATTCTTAAATGTGAGTATATTTCCTATTCTGGTCTCCACACATTTTTTTATTACGACTGATTATATGCATCAGTTGTATGAATGATTGTAATCAGTTGTAAGAATGACTATCATCAGTTGTAAGAATGACTATCATCAGTTGTAAGAATGATTATAAGAATAACAATCAAAATAATTATATGGACACCTTGCTATCTGAAATCAAATTGTTCCTGCCATTCAAAATTCAAGAACTAGGGGCGCCTGGGTGGCTTAGTCGGTTAAGCGTCCGACTTTCGCTTAGGTCATGATCTCACAGTTCGTGGGTTCGAGCCCCGCATCGGGCTCTGTGCTGACTGCCAGCTCAGAGCCTGGAGCCTATTTCGGAGTCTGTATCTCTCCCTCTCTCTGACCCTCCCCTGCTCACGCTGTCTCTCTCTCTCCTAGAAATAAATAAAAATATTTTTTAAAAATTCAAGAACTAAGTAGATCTGGATAGTGAAGGGTTATTTGGTTATGTGTGTTTTTAAGATTTTAAGTAATCTCTAAACCCAACATGGGGCTCAAATTTACAACCCCGAGATCAAGAATCACAGTGTCTCCCAAATAAGCCAGCCAGATGCCTCTATTTATTCTTTTTAATCTCCTCTTTAAGAGAGGCATGCTGACGTGGCTTGAATATTTATAAGCAAAATTATATTTTTTCTGGGACTTGCTTAAAAATAAGCCTCTCCTGATAAATAGTGGAGTGGCCTTGTTACTGACGAAATAAGACAGGCCATGGGCTAATAATTGTTGAAGTTCAATGATGAGCACATGGCTGGGAGTTCATTAGACTCTCCTTTCTACTGCAAAATGTGTTTGAATTTTCCATAATAAAAAGGGTTTTAATGATCCCGATGGGAGGGGACACGTTCTTCTGACATCAGAGATACCCCCAAGAGAACGCAACTGACTGAAAATTTTCCCATTTGATTCCAGTCCCCAGATTCCTAGCAATTATACTGCCCTAAGATTACAATGGAAATTTTTATCTAAAGGGGAAGCTGTGAGAATTCAGCCTCGAGTTCAATAAACTTTGCCACTCACCTTCAGCCCATAAAGCTAAGGCAAGAAAGAAACCTTCCCATGCCTCCTAGAAACATCTCCCTGGTGCACAGATCCACGCCTGATGCCATCTCCCTGCTGCCTCCAGCCTTCACCTGCCTGGGAAGACGAGATTCCCCAAACATGTCCTGTAGGTGACCCCATCTTAGTGGTACGACCAACATAGCATGTGCTTGGGAAATAAAATAAGAGGAAGGAGAAGCAGTTTCCCCAGCTGAACAGCCAGAGGGAGGGAAACTGGGAAAGTCTATACATGCAAAATGATTCAATACGGTTGATGTGTCTAACTGGCTAATCCTCTCCTCTATGAGCTTGTACTTCATCCTGGGCTTGTTTCCGGCATTTCCACGGCCCCTCCCACCTCACCGGGAATTGTGTTTCTCCTAGTTCTCTCCCTGGGGTGGGGGCTCTGGGCTTCCCCTAACACCACACACAGTGCCCGGTCTGCCCCACTCACCTTACGGGCACTCGCACATCAGAGGGACCATATTCCTCGCAGACTCATACTCAACAAGCGTCCACATCTGGCTTCAGCTGTACCTGTGAGGTGCATGAACAATGGCAACCTTCTCACTCTGCCTATTTCTACAGTCATGAAATGAGACCATTCAGAAGAGATTCCCACAGTTCCTGCACCTTGTAAGTGTTAAATGTTAGTTACTGTGGTGTTACCTAAAACTCTTCAGTGGCTTCCAATTGTACTTGACATAAAATATATAATTTTTAATATGTCCTAAAAATCACCCCCCCCCAAGAAATATGAGGTACTATTTGGAACATTCCCCCTCCCCACCCCCACTGCCCAGCACCTTCAATGAGCCAGACCCTGGTCTGTGTCTGTTATATTTATATAGACACGATATTTTTTATTTTTTATATACAATATCTTTTAATACGATATGTTTCCTATTATGTATCTGCTTATTGCTGTAACTGGAGAAGAAAATGATATGTGTTTGTTTTTAAATTTCACCTTATCAGAATGACTCCTTAGTTGTCACAGCTTTCCAACTGATTTTATGTAAACCAATTCTGTCCTCTGAAAAATGTGATCAATTTGCTTTTACCTAAGACATGAATCTGACTTTGCTTTTTCTTCTCGGGTTATATTAGTTTGAAACTTCAGAGCAGTGTTGCATAGTGGCGGTGACGGGCACATTTGTGTTCTGTACGATCTTCCTGGGGATTCCTCAAATCAGTGTTGGTATTAGCTGATGATTAAGGAAGCCATTTTATCATAGTTCAGAAATATCCTATTGACAGTTTCCTCAGAACTGTTTTCAAGCAGTTATCTCTAGCTAAAAAGATGATCCTGGGGCACCTGGGTGGCTCAGTTGTTTGCATGTCTGACTCTTGATTTTGGCTCAGGTCATGATCTCATGGTTGTTGGGTTCAAGCCCCACCCCCACCCCACCGCCCCACATCAGGCTCTGCGCTGACAGTGTGGAACCTGCTAGGGACTCTCTCCTCTCTCTCTCTCTCTCTGCCCCTCCCTCACTTGCTCTCTCTCTCTCTCTCTCTCTCTCTCAAAATAAGTGAACATTTTAAAAAAAGATGAATCCAGGGGGCGCCTGGGTGGCTTAGTCGGTTAAGCATCCGACTTTCGCTCAGGTCATGATCTCGTGGTTCGTGGGTTCGAGCCCCGCGTCGGTCTCTGTGCTGACTGCCAGCTCAGAGCCTGGAGCCT